GCAAGATCTTTTTTTTTCCGCGAGAAGTTGAAATTGACTGATTGATTGAACCTTTTTTTTTTTTGTACACGGCGGTGGAGGCCTAAAGCGAAAAGATTTTATAAAACCCAGCTGAAGGCCTAGGACTGGGGCGACAGCGCACGTGCCCACTGAGAGGGCTCTGAGTGCCGCCTCTGGCACCCGTGCCATAGGTTCGCCACCACTGCACTAGACCAAACTAGCTATTAAACTATTGATAAACTATTCTGTAAACCATAGTTAAACAAAAATGGTCTAGTGCAGTGAGAGTCTTTGGATTGCGAAAGGTGAAAAATAAATAAATAGACAGATAGATGTGTGAAGCCCATTAAAAATGATCTTTTCAGCCATGGTCCTTTGACACCGACAGATGCTGGCCCTTGGTGGGAGGAAACAAATGATTTGTTCAGGAGAGGAATCAGGAAATTGGATCTGCTGCTAATATACTGGAAACATTTGGGACCCATCAGTGAAAGGAAAAATAAAACGAGTGTCATGTTCATGCTGTCCACTTTGGCTTTCCTCCATTGTTTGCTTAGGTTCAGGAAGGAACAAAAACAAAGTAGTCTGGGGTTTTTTTTGCCGTTTGTTTTTTTCCGCTCTCACAAAATTATATACACCAACAAGCTTATCCAGTCAAACGCATGATTTTCTGGTTTTAGAAAAGGATAGTATCCAAAGCTGTCATGTTTGGGGCAAAGGTCACCTTGCGTCTTATTTTTCACACTCTGTAATTTGGCACGAGAAACTGCAATCACACAGGAGAGGAAGTGACCCGTGTGGATTGGCTGTGGGGGCCCGAAGCTCAGCTTGCCAAAAAGGAGAGATTATGCATACCAAAAGTCTCTGCAATGGGAGGACCAGGAAAGGGGCTTCCCTTTAATTTTTATGCTTGCAAACAAGTTTCAAGGATGCTGAAAGGACACTGGACATGTAGTGGAAACTACAAAGCCCAGGGTTAAAATCCCTGTTTAACTGTAATCCACACTAGCTGCTGTTGAACTGTTCTTTGGTTGACCACCCTGGCTTCAGGATGTATTTATTTATTAAATTTATATGCCGCCCATCTCACCGATAAAGTGACTCTGGGCAGTTTGATTCTTCAAAGGCTTTTGATTGTGTCAGTGACATCAGGCCATGGAATGTGCTCAGAAAAAAATGGCAAAGAAGTATGACAAAGTTGTCACAAGAACTGGGGTGTCCCCAACAAGAAATAATCTTTTTCCCTTTCTGCCCAAGCTTTGAACAGGTACTTTGCCAACTTATCCAGTGGATTAGCACAGTACACACAAAACCTAGTTAATGTTATTTGTTTGTTATTATCTTTTTTAGCAGGAATCAACAACTTTTGCTGGCTCCCAGGTGCAACCATAGGATTTTCCACCATTCAGTTTCATGTGATGAAGGTTTTATCAGGTTTTATCCTGGGCCAAAAAATATATATCTATGCTGTGCATTTGTGTGATTTCTAGAGCAGTAAACAATAAGTTAAACGTGAGCCAGCAATGCGTTAGAAGACCATAGAGTCTCAATCATGGAAAACAATTGGTTTACTCTACTCTGCCCTGGTCTGGGCCCATTTGAAATACTGTGTTTTGGGAGTCAGTTCAAACAGGCTAGTAACACATTGGAGTCACTTTGGAATGGAGCTTCCAAGATGGTGAAGGGTTTGGAAAGCAAAGCCTACAGGGAACAATGAAAGGATCTGGTTATGTTTAGTCTAGACAAAATAAAAGCAAAGGAATCATACCAGTTTCCTAATATTTGAAGCTTGTCACACAAAAGAGAGAGTGGGCTTCCTTATTGCTCCAGAAGAGAGGTCTAGATCCAGTAGCTTAAAATTACTAGTGAGGAAATTCAGACTGGACTTCAGGAGCAACTTCTTAACTATATAAGCTATCAGCTACTCCAGGAGGGTTTTGGTTTTTTTTAAAATCAGGCCATGGAATGTATTAATTAAAAACATCCCAGAACCCCTGCTTAAAAGGCAATATAATGAAATGTGTGGATGTCCTTTGGGAAAGAGATGCCACCTCAGAAACAATCAGACAAGAGAGGCAGGAGCTCCCAGTGGCTTAAAGGTCAGAGAAAGAAGTTACAAGACACCAAACTGTTAAAAGTGGCGGTGGGAACTTTGTACTTTCAGACTTGCAAAATTGCTGTCTGCTCTCTCAAGTAAAGCAGACAGGAGACATAGACTAGAGATGAACTAATTCTTATTTTATTGTAAGGCTACATTGACAGAAAGATAAACATAATCTTGCAAGTCTGAAGGTATAAACTTCTCATTGCCACTTTTAACTGCTTACTCCTTCCTAAGAGACTTTGGAAAAAGTGCAAAGAAGAGCAACTAAAGGCCAGGAGACAAAAACATATGAAGAATGGTTACAGGATTTGGGTTTGGCTAATCTAGAGAAAAGAAGGACTAGGAGGGTCATGATAGCAATATTCCAGTATTTTTGAGGGATTGCCACAAAGAGGAGGGGGTCAACTTATTTTCCAAAGCACTTGAGGGCAGGATAAGAAACAATGGATGGAAACTAATCAAGGAGAGAAGCAACCTGGAACTAAGGAGAAACTTCCTGACAGTGAGAACAATTAACCAGTGGAACAGCTTGCTGTCAGAAGTTGTGGGTGCTTCATCACTTGAGATTTTTAAGAGACTGGACAGTCACTTGTCTGAAATGCTATAGGGTCTCCTGCTTGAGCAAGGGGTTGGACAAGACCTCCAAGGTCCCTTCCAGCTCTATTCTGATTGATTGATTGGTTTGATTGTCTGATTGTCTGATGGATTCCGAGGTAGCATCTCGTTCCCCAAGGTCATGCACATATTCCATTACACCAGGCTACATTCAAGTGAACTTTCCCTTTTCCCCCCTGTGGTCTCTTATGAAACCTAATCAAGGGTTCCTTGGAAATTGAAACATCCTTCCTCAAAGCATCAGCTAGTATGTTTTGCTATAAATGTACTCATCTTACATACTTTGTTTACTTTTCCTCCATGTTCCAACAACTTCTCTTGATCCTTCAGCCCAACATTTTCCTGTAAGTGCTGAAAAAACAATAACACTAAGGATAGTGGAAAGCTGTACCAGGCTGATTTTGGTTGGGGGAAAAGGTCATGTGCTAGAAGAGAAGGTTAAGGTTAAGAGTTCATCCTCCAAGATACTTAATTTATTTGTCTTTTTTTAAAGGGGGATCACCAATTCAGTGATTTATAATTTGTTTTCGAGGAAAGACCATTTAAGATTTCCAGAGTGAAATCCACACTAGCTGGGTGTGCTATATATACTCTGTAAGCTGAATAAGGATGGCCATTCTGGTGGATAAATCCAAAGAAAGAAGAAAGGAAATGTAGTTGGTCCCATGAAAGCACACAGATAGTTTTTCTGTGCTTTTATGCATTTGGGAGAACGTTAAGTTCCTCCTGGATCAGTGGTTCTCAACCTGTGGGTCGGGACCCCATTTGGGGTCGATCGACCATTTCACGGGGGTCGCCAAGCAAGGCTGTCCGCCATTTTTTTTGTCCGCCATTTTTTCCCCCTTTTCCGGCGGGTGCCTTACCTCCCTTGGGCTGGGCCAGCTGGTGGTCGGCCTGCTCCGTCTCTGCCGCTTGCTAGCTACGCCTCGGCCGGCGCAGGGGGCGGAACCATGCATGCGCGGCACTCCCGGGCAGGGAAAGTCCTCGACTTACGACCGGTTGGGTAGTCCTCAACTTATGACCGGTTTAGTCCTCGACTTGCGACCAGTTTAGTCCTCGACTTACGACCGGTTGGGGTCGCGGCATTAAAAAGGTTGAGAACCACTGTCCTGGATGAACAACTTAATGCAAATCTGTTTAACCTAACTGTCCCAATTTCGTTAGGCTGCCCTTTTGCTACAATCCCATTTTCCCCACATTAACATTTTGTTCGCAAGGCAAGAAAAGAGATGGAAGAAGCCATGTGAAAAGGATGACAAATGGGGGGGGGGGAATGCCCTGGAACTCTCATAAAGCCATAAAAGAGACAAGATTATTGCATAAATAGACAAAGTCATCTTCTGTTTATAATCCTTCTATCTTTTCGGTCTTTTTTTTTTTTTTAACCATAAAATCTGTTGACAGAATGGGAATAGTTGCAGAATGTCTTTAGTTTAGATAGAAAAGGTTAGGCAATCTCTATTTGGAAGCACTATGACAATATACAAGATGCGGGAGGTCCACGGCTATATTTTTCTTTGCAAAGAAACAAGGATTCCCTTTGAAACTTTCCGCTGCTGCTGCTGCTCATGCACACAGCTTCACACGATCCTGTGTTCATGTTACCTGCTTAATCCACAATATACTGAACCATAAATTAAGAGGACATGACTGGTAAAGCAGAGCAAAGTTAATCTGACATACACTTGCCTGCCTGTAAAATAGTCTTCCCTAACTTTGTACCTTCTAGATGTATTGGCACTGCAACTTCCAGAATTCCCAGTCAATATGATCTTTCCAACTGGGAGTTTTAGTGCTCTCAAGAAATCAGGACATAATACACATAGAAACATAAATCCAGAGGTGCAGCCTATTTGCCCAATGTCCAACTATTGAGACATTCCTAAGAAGTTAAAAATTAAGGGATGAGGAAGTCCATGCACCATAAGATGAGAAATTCATTCAGTGCTGTATTCTGTTGGTTGGTTGGTTGGTTGGTTTCTATTCTTTTTGCCACCTTTTTTCCCCAGTCAGTGCTTAACTGAAAAGTACAGAGATTAAAATATTGCTTAGCAGTCATATTCTCTGATTTTACAAAGCTTTTCGCTGGATTTCAGGCGATCTGAGTCTTAAGAAAATGGCAGGCAGCCGCCAACTCTGGTAGCAGGCTTGAGATAGGAAGGGTACCCCAGAAACTTTGGGCAAGAACATATCATATTGTGCCACAGAGAACATCTTATAATTGAAGAAACAGAGTTTTGTGATTGAATTAAGTTAGTTGGAAAGATTTGATCACTGAATTAAATTAAAAGAGAGGTGGAAGGAAGTTTTAAATGTGTAGAACTCAGAAGGAAGCCTTGCTGGCACCATGCCCAGAGTCGTTTTGGCAGATCTGATTCCTTGCTTGAATTGCATAACACATTGGGGACGGTTTCATCAGTCGCTGTCATCGTCTATGTTCCGGATCTGCCCTGTTTCCCAAAGCTGAGCCAGGGCGCTCCTCCGGCAGATCGGCTTGATGGATTTCACAACCTGTGATAGAGCAAAGCCTCCATCAGATAGGAAGAACACTCCTGTTTCAGCCTTTCCATTTATAGTATATATACAGAGAGAAAGAGAGCGGATGCCGACTCACAATTTAGCCATACCCAGGGACAGTATTTAAGATCCACCATTAGGCACAGTATGTAGCAGCATGTTAAGACCTTGATTAACTCCCCAGAAAAACCAAGCAGGACTGGATCTGCTCAGCAAATGGCTGGGAGATCATCAGGGCTACAAACTGAGTCAAAAACAAAAATAACCAAAACCCCTGCAGATCAAAGCAAGAGCCACCACTTCTATGCCTTTGCCAGTAAAATTTTATGGTGTGCCCATTTAGTCGCCAGGGATGGAGCTTAGGTTAGACCAGGGGTAGGCAACCTTGGCTCTTTTATGACTCGTGGACTTCAACTCCCAGAATTCCTGAGCCAGCCATACTGGCTGAGGAATTCTGGGAGTTGAAGTCCACGAGTCATAAAAGAGCCAAGGTTGCCTACCCTTGGGTTAGAATCAGAACATAGATGGATTGGATATGACTCTGGAGACTTTGCTGTGATGGGCAAAGATTTTCATAAAAGTAAATCTATGGGAATAGTTGTGAGAACTCAATTCCCTTCCGATGCCACCTCTTCCAGCCTTGGGAGACATAGCAGGGGACAGGAGGGAAGTCAAGTCAATTGCCAAGCTCTTTCCAGGCTGGATCAACCTAAATAGTTGAAACTAATGAGCTTAAAGGCCTGGCTCTGCCAATTAGCCTGGGTCTCCAATGGACGGAGGGCTTCACATTAGAGGTGGTTGACAGACTAATAACAGATCTCACCTCCACACCTGTCCATCCTACTCTCTACCCCTCCCCACCCCAATCTTTTAGTTAGGGATGAGTGTTTATCTTTTTAGATTATTTAGTTTCCATTATGTACAGGTTTTGTAAAATTTGATCTTTTTTAATATTGCAAACCATCCAGAGTTACCCTGGGGTAAGATGGGCAGTCAATAAATTTGATAAATATATAAAATAAATAAAACTACAGATGGTAAGGAAAAGGGGACCTGGCCACGCTATTGCCAATATAGTCAGTGAAGGGTGTCTGATTTTACCCGTGGTAAAACTGCTGCAATTTGTTGGTTGCTTAAGGAGAAAACACTATTGTAACACTATGATAAGGTGACCAACCGTCCTCCTTTAGGGAGGACAGTCCTCCTTTTGTAAGTTCTGTCCTCCCTCAAAAAGTGTCCTCCTTCATGTCCTCCTTTTCGATATTTGAAGACTAATCTGCAGGGCTTTTCTTTCCCTCATAGAACGCTCAGAACTGCGTTCCGGCACCTTTTTTTGATGGGTTTTTTTTTCAACTTTTGCATGAGCTGTACTACTCCCATTATTGGCTTTCGAAAGCCAATAGGAATTGCTGCTGAGCGCACCAAAACACCCGGCTGGCAAACTTTGCACATGCAAGTTGTCTGTATTATTGTTGCAATGAATAAAACGTTTCTTTTATTTACGATATTTTTTTCTTCAATTTATTTGTGTCCTCCTTTTCATTGTAAAAAAGTTGGTCACCTTAACTATGATAGTTAAGAATAACTTCAGTCTGTCTGCAGTATGGGCCGGTGATGCAGTGAAGGCACCATCAAGGGAAACCGCAAGTAAAAAAGGGCCAGAGAAGGTGGTTAGATGCCAGGGGGAAAGGTCCTCAAACTAGAACCGTGTTTCCCCGAAAATAAGACCGGATCATTTTTTTTCCCTCCAAAAGAGGCACCAGGTCTTATTTTGGGGGGATGTCTTACCTTCGGCACTGACAGCCCCGCCCAGCAGGTCCACTTCTTCTGGGGCCAAAGGAGCAGCTTCATTCTGCAGCTGCATTCCGGCCTGCATTTTGCAGTCAGGCCTTTCTGGAAGACCTCTGCAGCCGAGTACCGAGCTGTGGATTCAATCCATAGCTCGGTTCTCGGCTGCAGAGGCCTTCCGGAAAGGCCTGTGACTGAGAAATGCAGGCCTGGCTGCAAAAGATGCCGGAGAAGAAGTGGGCTGGCGAGGAGAGGCCTGGCTGTAAGGTAAGTGATTGCAGGGCGCGTGGGGCAGCTCCACCTCCCGCACCCCTGCCCTAGCTTGATTTTTAAGTGTGCCTCGCCCCAAAACTAGGGCTTATTTTGGGGGTAAGGCTTATATTAGGCCCATCTCCAAAAATCAAGCTAGGACTTATTTTGGGGGCAGGCCTTACTTTCGGGGAAATACGGTATCTTTTTCCTGTTACCCAAAAGCAATGCCAAGATATACTTCTTCTCAGAAAGTTTACCTCAGTGTCAATCTCATCGTTCAGTTCGATACCAGCATACTAGAAAATAGGGAAAAGGGACAAGAAGTTACAAGGCAGAAGTTAAAATCATAGTTTGCAAACTGTGGGGAAGATTGACTCTCCGCCCATATTTTTTAAGCTAAAATGGATGTTCATGTAGCTGACAGCCTTTTTGCAGCTAAGCATGGCATACAGATAATCTTTGACTTAGGACTGTAACTGAGCCTAGCAATTAAGGTCATAAGTCATGACTGTCGTAAAGAGGGTCATCACATGGCCAAGCCTATTTTTATGACCATATCCTCTATGGTCTCTAGGGCAGGGCTTTTCAACCTTTTCACCCACTGTACCACTTTTAGGATATGGCAACATCCGAGTACCACCAGTCGCCTAGCAAGGTGTCAAAAACTTGATGACCAAAAAAAAAAAAAAAAGGAAAAAAGTGATGAAGTACTGGTAGTCCTCAACTTACAACAGTTTGCTTAGTGACTGTTCGAAGTTACAATGGCACTGAAAAAAGTGCCCCCCCAAGGCACAGCTGAGCAAGACACCTGCCTGCAGCGCTCTTCCTCCTGTCCGAGGTTTTCATTGTTGTGAGCATTTCTGTTGAGGATTGGCAGTGGGGGTGGGGTGGGGGTGTTTGGTTTTTATTCCCCCCGTCTGCTGGGTGGTTGCAGCAGGTTTTGGTCACTTCACATGACCCTGGGACAGTGTGACCGTCATAAATATGAATCAGTTGCCAAGCATCTGGATGTAAATCACAAGTCCCTGGAGATGCTGCAACATTCCAGCTGATCGGCGCTTCTTCTGGGTTCAGCAGAAGCGCCAGGATCAGCGCTGAGCTCCAGCTGGAGCCTGGTGCTGATCCTGGCGCTTCCGCTGAGCCCTGACAGCCCTGCAGCTCCAGCCATCTCTCGCTCAGGCTTGTGCAGTGCTGCCACCGGTTCAGCTCATTCCCCTCCCCCGCTACCACTTTTCTAGGATGGTTGCGTACCACCTGCCAGGTGCCAATGTACCACAGGTGGTACCCGTACCACTGGTTGAAAAGCCTTGCTCTAGGGCACAAAAAGAATGTTCTACCCCCAGCTTTGAACAAGATTTCCCGATCTTGCTTTATGTGGAGTATTACATCCACTCTTGCAGTCCCTTATATGAACTGAATGTGCAAAGAGCATCAGTCCAAATTTACATTCAGAAACTTGTATTTCATTAGGTTGTTTCTGAAGCAAATCACATTGTGAACCATAAGCACAATGTTAGGCTGGCCTTATAAAAACCCAGATTCTGACTTCCTTTTAGTTATGGAGAAAATAATACCCTAATCAAGAAACTACCAAGGAGTAAAATACGTACCCCCCAACACTGGGTGGGCAAGCTACTGCACATAAACAGGGAGAAAACCCCACACTCGCTAGCACTGATGATGTCACCTAGTTGGGTAATGACACATCTGCAATCAAACAACCATGCTCAGAGAGCACTAAGAACTCCACAGTTCAACCCTGAAGTACAGATATTCTCTTCTATTGGAGTTCTGTGGTTCGTATCAAGGATTAGCCTGTTTAGCCACCATTCTTGTTGCCTCTAACAACAGTCAAAAGCATCCTTCTGGTCTTTAAGATACTTCTGTTGTTCCTTGACTAGTAGTGTTTTGAGATAAATTGTCTCTGAACCTGGAGGCTTCAGGTAGCCATCCTGACCAACTGTTATTGCTAGAATCTCCTCTTCCTGTCTAAGGCCACCCTCCTTTAATTCAACTCCTTTCCTGCTCATTACCTTCCTATCCTCCTTTGGTCTTATCCTGGATTGTGTTGGACTCTGGCACCTTCTGAAGCTTGATTCAGGGGAGTTTGTTGTCAAACTTGCTCGGTATAGGATGGGTGAAGTAGGTAACCTCACAGGCGAATTAGGAACAAAAACAGGTGAAGAGGAGACAGAGTACCAGCCAGTATCTCCTGATGCAGCTAAGGAGGAAAAATATAGGAGAGTTAAAATCCCGCCTAGCCACTTCTTCACAAGGCCTTTGCTAATCCTAGAACCGTGGTGGCGAACCTATGGCACGCGTGCCACAGGTGGCACGCAGAGCCCTCTCTGTGGGCACGCGCACCGTCGTCCCAGTCCTAGGCTTTCAGCTGAGTTTTATAAAACATTTTTGCTTTAGGCCTCCGCTGCCATGTGCAAAATAAAAAAAAAGTTCAATCAATCAATTTCAATTTTTCGTGGGGAAAAAAAAGATCTCGCAAAGTTGGAATTGATTGATTGAACTTTTTAGTCCCACCCAGTCTGCCGTTACCAATGAAGCCTTGGCCACACCCACCCAATTGGCCACGCCCACCTGGAACCCGATGATACATAAGTGGATTTTGGGTTGCAGTTTGGGCACTCGGTCTCTAAAAGGTTTGCCATCACTGACCTAGAAGGAGTCAAGTGGAAAGAAAAAAGGTGGAGCTTGTATTGGAGTGAAATCTGAACTCGGGGCTTTTTCATTATCATTTGTTGTCCTCTGATTGGCAACTGGACATGATGTTTTGCATGCACCTAGCAATTCTGTGAATATTTTTAAAGTAACAGTAGATATGCAAAAATCTGAGGGAAGTTGTCTCCCAGTTGATGTCAGGAGAGTTAAAGTCCCCCATTACTATTGTGATGTGCCTCCTACATACCTTAGTTAACTGACTAGCAAAAAGTTCATCAATTTCCTCTGTTTGGTATAGTATACACCTATAGCAATGTCATTCCCCCCCCCCTTTTATATTGACCTGAATGCATTCAAGACAGTTTTCATCATTGTTGTGCTTTATTTCTGTAGAGATGTTGTTATTTCTTATATATAGTGCAACTTCACCTCCTCTGTTGTTTGGTCTGTTTCTTTTAAATAATTTAAATCCCTCTAGCTGTGTGTTCCATTTGTGGGTTTCATCCCACCAAGTTTCCGTAATGGCAACAATATCGTATCTGCCCTCATTTACTTGAGTTTCTAATTCACCCTGTTTATTGCTCATACTCTGTGTGTTGGTGTATAGATATTTGAGTCCTCTTTGACTGACCCTGTGTTTACTTTCTATATAACCTGTTTTGCGCTTGAGTTCCTCTACTTTAGACATGTCAAACTCACGACATCACGTGACGTCACACGATGTATTGGAGCTTTTTCCCCATTGCCGGCAATGGGGTGGGCGCGGTTTCCTCGTGACGCGTCTGGCCTGCGGGCCGGCAGTTTGACACCCCTGCTCTACTTCCTTACCACCTGTATCCAATTCATGGCTGTTATTGGGGGGCTTATTTATTTGGCTTTTCTGAACTGAATGGAGAAGATTTTTTATTTTTGCAAAAACTTTGTCCAAATCTGCACTCTATTCAGGCCCTCAGTTGATGTTTTACTTCCCCCCCCCCAAAAAAAATCTTGGCTACATTACATAATAGCTGACTATATATAGTCCTTGACCTACAACCATTTGTTTAGCGATCTTTTGAAGTTACAAAAGTGCTGAAAAAAGCAATTTACAACTGGTCCTTGCACAAGACCATTGCAGCATCCTCACAGTTATGTGATCAAAATTTGGGCAGTTGGAAACCGGCATGTACTTATGTCAGTTGCATTTCATAAATACAAAACTATCATGTGATCGCCATTTACGACCTTCTCAGCTGGCTTCCTACAAGCCCAGTCGACTGGGGAAGCCAAATTTGCTTATTGACCACATGATTCACTGAACAACTGCAGTGATTTGCTTCACAACTCTGGGGGAAAAAAGTCATAAAATGGGTGTAAGTCACTGAATAACTGCTTTGCTTAGCAACAGACATTAGGGTTCCAATTGTGGTTGTAAGTCAAGAACCAAGGTCCCTTCCCACTCTGTTATTCTGTTAACTACCTGTATGTGATTGATACCAAGTCCAGTGTGCCTCCAGCTCTTCCCTTTGACTTTAAGCCTCCCAGAATAAAACATATGGGGTGATGGAAGTCCTTTGGATATGAAATAAATTTAATACTGGGCCACAGACCTTCAACAGCCACAGACCATTGCTGGGATTTCATTTTCCCCACTCATGCTGTAAGTTTGAAGATTTACCTTTTCCATCAATGCTACCTTTTTATACCAAATTGTGGGTACTGTTGCATCCATTCTCTAATTCTGCTTCTAATCCTTGGCTATATGATTTATTTAGATAGTCCCCAGTTTAATTCTGTCCTTGAGTCAAATAAGTATATAAACCTGAACACCATTATTATGCAATACTGAATAAGTAGTATGGTGCAAGGAACTTTATCCTTGTGTACTTAACTCAAATCCTTGTGTATTTAACTCAAAATTTATTATTTATTTATTTAGGAAACTTTGTATGGCCACCCACTCATTCTCAGTGACTCTGGGAGGTTTGCAGAAATAAAAACCAATATACAAACAATGAAAAACAATACTCTTTACCCCCGTGGTCTATCAAAGAAACCACTTGATGGGCTTTATCCCATTCTGAGTTCCTCAGGCCTGTTGGCAACACCAGGCCTTCAGAGCCTTATGAAAGAGTGTTTAAAATGGGGGAAGTTTTGCTACAATAGGCTCCATTTGTAACTGTGGATTGGCCTTAAACCGAGGCGTTCTTAACCTGAGGACTTGCTGTATTGTACTGGAGGTCACATCCCCAATGAACTTCGTTGGGTATTTATAGACCACCTTTTCCTGTAGCCTATTTTTTACAGATAGAGCTAGGAAACAGCCTTCCCTTGTAGCAAGGATCAGGCACCTATCATTTCACAAATTACATTGCAACTGTTGTAGTTTTAATTATGATTTAGAAACGTTAAGTTGCCTTTGAAAATAGAAGCCACCCTTCTCTAACAGAGTGTCCTCCATCCGTCAGTTGTTAGGCTTCTAACTCCAAGAATTCCTAGCTAGCACTAATGACTGAGAACTGTGAATTGCTATTCTAATATTTGGAGAATACAGAGAGTCCTCAACTTACAATCACAATTGGGATCAGAGTTTCCATTGTTAAGCAGGGCAATTATGAAGTGGGTCACATCCTATTTTACAACCTTTTTTTGCCATGGTTATACGAATCATTGCAGTTGTTAAATGAATCATGCAGTCATTAAGACTCTGGCTTCTCCCATTCACTCTGCTTATTTGAAGCCATTTAGGAAGGTCATAATGGTGATCACATGACCCTGGGACTCTGCAAATGTTGCAAATACACGCCAGTTGCCAAGAGCCCGAATTTTGATCACATGACCATGGAAATACTGCAGTGGTCATAAATGGAGGACCAAGCGTAAGCCATTTTTTTCATTGGTAAATTTGGTATTGGTAACCATGGTAACTCTGAACAGTCACTAAGCAAATGGCTGTAAATCGACGATTTCCTGTACTATTTTAGATCACTGTAAACCAGCTTTAAACAAAGCGTAATGAGATATACTGATCTCAGTCATTTAAAAGGAGGAAAATGGCCTGAAAATGTAGGATAGCATTTTAGACTGAAGAATATTGCCCCCATTTTTAAAAAGTCAGTTGAAAGAAGAGCAATGTTATATTAAAAGCAGCTTATCTGTCCTACACAGAACAAGATTTTAGAACAGAGCTCAAAAAACAGAACTGCCAAATATATCTCTCAAGGAAAAAAGCTCCAACCGTTTGGACCAGCCGTGTCAAATGCTGACTTGCACTCTTATTAACTCAGTTAATACTGGAAGTCTCTTGAGCAGTAACCATCCTTGAACCATGATTGTAAGGAGACCTTTCCAAACATGACAGCAGGCACTACGGTGTCTCCTGCACTTATGCTACATCGTTGGTCAGAACCCACCATGCTTTCACTGTTATTCTCTGTTTCTCTTACCTGAACTTTGGGACGACACCCGTGAACTTGGGAGCTCCTGTGCAGTCAAACTGATTTTTTTCCTCTGCTCTTGAAGTTCCAGTTCTCTTTGCAAAGCATCCTGGATCTCCTGGTCAATCAGAATGGATGTCCGGGGCCGCCATGTCTTCAGCGTATAGAGCTCCTCCCGTGGAGCTGCTTTCTGAGGCTTATGCTCTTTCCTCTGAAGGCTTTGGGGTCCCTGATCTTCAGGAAAAGAGAATTGGCATTTCCGAACCGGAATGGCAAAATGTTCCTTCTTTAACACAAACTTGTCCCTTGGAACTTTCAAACCTTGGCTAAAGGGAGGGCTTCGGCTATGGAAATCCATCTTTGGGAGAAAAGCACTGGAGCACGTTTTTAAGGCTGGTTCATTTCCTGGGGTTTTCTTGCCAACAACTGGAACTGAAGAGGGCTGATGGATCTCCGAGCTCCAGTTCACATTCTGGCTTGCCATTCTTTCTCTGTCCTCTCTGGGTGGGACAACATTGCAACAGAGTGGTGCAGAGTCTGTATGCAGGGTCTCCAGCAGCTCCCCCTGTTTCTTTTGTTTGCCCAGAGAAGGCAGGGGAGCCTCTTCCTCCTCCCGCTCAAATATTTTCCGACGTTCTGCAAGCTCTTGGCGAAGTCCTCGGTCATACATTCCCAGCAACCTCCCTTCCTTTTGCAGGTCCTCCTCACGCTTGGCTTCCTGCTCAATCTCCCTCTGGACATAAAAGGAAATGTGAGGTTTATCCTTCCCTTTCCTGGAGGAAGCTGGAGAAGAGACTGGGGAGGAGAGGAGCGGCTTGGATCGGATCTCCACCAGATCATCTCTGGTACTGATCCGCTGGATGCCCCTCTCCTTCCAAAGGTTCTCTTCCCTCTCCATGGCCAACCTGATTTCCCGCTCAATGGGGGTCTCATTCCTAACTTCTGGCTCTTTTGCAGGATCTTGGCCCCTGGCCAGAGAATTTCCTGATTCTTTCTTGGATGTCCTCTCATTAACATTCCCTGGGCTCATATCAACCTCCAAGCCAGAGGGCATCTTTTCAGCAGAAATGAAAGTAGTCTCTGAATAAGAACTGGCTTCTCCTTGGGGGAGAATGAGAAGGTTTCCTCCCATTGAGTTTTCTCTCAATTGTCTCTGGCTGTACTCATCAAATTCCTTATCCATCCTCGGCATTTCAGGATTCTGAGGTTCTTTGCTCCCAAAAACGTGGCTTGTTGCATTCAGCTCCCAGGGAGAAGGAATGTGTCTCTTGGGTTCCATCAACATCTTTGGATTAGTCTTTTCCAGTGCAAGAAACTGCTGTCGGGCAGCAGCAAAATTTATCTGTTCTGTGTCTATGTTTTCAGGATTGACAGGGATGGTTGTCCAGTCTGGGGAAGCATTGTCAAAACAAAGAGCAAAGCTAGTGGGGTAGTTCTTCCTGGGTTCTGTTGTAACTTTGCCAAGAGAGGACGTGTCAACGGCTTCCAACTCATTCATGGAGCTCCATTTTTCTGCCATTGTGTTGCTTTTTCTCACAACTTGTCTCCTGATAATCTCCTGCCGTTCATCTTCCAGTTCTTTGGCTATTTCTGGTGAGACATCCTTGGAGGGAATCTTATACTGAAACTCTTCATTGTCTTCTTCATAGAGTCTGGAAGGTTTCTTCTCCCCTTTGTAAGCCCGGATGTCATAGAGTGAGCCAGATTTGAGCACTTCCAACTTGGATTCTCTGTTTGGGCGTGGTGTCCAGTGATCTGTCCTTCCATTTATAGATTTGGCCATGCACTGAGAGTGATCTTCCGTGGGATCTAACTTCTTCCATCCATTTTCAACCTTCACATCAGGATGATCCAAGTCAAGAATCTCGTCTTCTTTGTCCTCAGGTCTCATTTCTTGTTGTAAGACCACTTGTTGACCACTCTGCTCATGTTGATCTTCATAGCTGAGCTCTGTGTTCTGGGGGGAATTGAAGAGACTATCCCTGGTGCTGGACTTCATTTTTGGAAGAGAGATTTCATAGATGTTGTTTTGAGTTTGTGGAAGATGTTCCTTAATGACAGGGATCTCTTGGGTCATCCAGTTTTGTTGAGAAATATTTGCATCAACAACTGGGCTTTGTAGATTCTGAAGGACAAGAGAGGACATTCAGCCAAATTACATTTCTTAACATGTATTACTCTAAACAGAGTAGTGCTTAAGACACTGAACTGAAACTGGGGAGACATAGAATTCTCTGGATGATTTTGGGCCTCCCCTCCCCTCCCCTCTCTTCTCCTCTCAAGTTACCTCATGGGATTGTGTGATAGGGATATGGTAACCATATGGCAGATATGGTTTCAGGATTAAATCTTAGAAAGTGGAACTCTCACTAGAAATTCATGAGTCCTTTTGTGCAGAGCAGAGAATTTACACTTATCTACATCAGGGGTGTCAAACTCAATTTCACTGAGGGCCGCATCAGCATTGCGGTTGCCCTGGGGGGGGGTGTGGCCAGAGTGGGTACAGCCTACTGGTTTTGTGTGGATGGAGTGGGTATGGCTACTGGGTGGGCGTGGCCAGTTCTACATCATTCGCGTCAAGGGTGCCTATGGGGGCCTGGGCAGGAGTGGGACAGATCTGAGGGTTTCTGGCAGAAGGGGGTGGGACCGGGGCAAGTGCCAAGGCATGGTCCACCAGGACAAGTGCCAAGATGGCCACCACAAAATTGTACATTGGCTTCCGGCTGGCCTGGACCAGGGCCAAGGCAGCGGGGGCCGTTCCCTCACTGTTTCCAGGATGGCTTCGCGGGCCACATGGAACCACTTCGCGGGCCGCATCCAGCCCCCGGGCCTTGTGTTTGACATGTCTGATCTACATGTTAAAACTTCCTTCACCATTCTCAGAAATTACATACTGTCCATTCAGAATCCCTCGAAGGAAGATCTGCCTGCCTGCCAGCATTCTGGGATGGATGAAGGTGCTGTGACAACAGAGAAACCAATTCTCCATTCCTTACTGACCAAGGAAATGAAGCAAGATATCTAGCGGTTCTTCAGAACAGGCTTATTATTTATATATTTATTAACTTTTTAGATCCCATGATTGTCAGTGGTTTATAAAAGAAGAAAATTCCACAGTATAATAGTGTAATAATAATTACAACATAATCAGCATTTATCATTAATTTGGAACTGGAACAAAATTTAAGCATGTCTTACGATGCTTTCCTAATTGGTTCCAAAGACCCTCTGGAAGAATTTCTTCTATACCTGCTGCAGGAAAGTAGGTTTAGGCTTATTAAGGAATCCTCACATTAATTTTTTAAAGCCTGCTTGTTCCTTTCCACTAAAGGGTTTTGACCAATTCATCAGAATGGAATTGTTCTTATAGTAACTCCATGGAGTAAAGGAAAAAGGCAAATCTAAGAAAGATTTTATGGCTAAGTAGGAACCTTGAACATCCAGAGCTATGAACAAATGGCCTTTTGTGATTCTTCATCTTCTTGGTGATCAGAAAAAGTAGAAACACTACAGATTTCTTCAAAGGGACGGGAAACACAGGGATTCCCAAACATTGTGGTACCCTGAGCATCTACAATAGTGATGGCAATCCTATGTGTCAAAGTTTGGGTGACACGCCAGCATCCACCAACTCCCAACACAACTATTTTCAAAAACACCCCCCTTTCTTGTGTAATGTTCAGAGGCTGTGGTGGCTGTGTGAGAATGGAGTGTGATCTCATGCAGATTCTGGACCCACCAGAAGTCAGACAATAGGGCCGTGCTCTCACATGGTCTCCAGAGTCTCCAGAAATGATTTTTACTTCTATTTCATTTTTGTAATTATCTGACATTTTCTTATATACAGTAATACATAACATCACACATGATTGCACTGTGTTTTTTTTAAAAATAAATGAATATGTAGATAATTGTTTCCCTTTTGTTGAGGGGAGGTGCCATGCCAGCAGAGTCAGGTTAACCATTTTCTGAATTTTTGACATGCTGCCATCACTACCCTACAATGAGAAATTATTTGTATGAATAAAGTTAATGGGTTAAGAGTTGGGCAAGAAATAAAATAACATACAGTAGAAAAGCACAATAGAGTAACAGGATTGGAAGGTCTCTAGCAGGAGACCCTATACGAGGGGTCTTCAAACTTGGCCCTTTTATGACTTGTGGACCTCAGCTCCCAGAATTCCTCAGCCAGGCATGCTGGCTGAGGAATTCTGGGAGTTGAAGTTCACAAGTCATAAAAGGGCCAAGTTTGAAGACCCTTGCCCTATACCATTCTGGACAAATGGCTGTCCTTAAAAACGTTTTGTGATGGAGCACCCACAATTTCTGGAGGAAAGCCCTTCCACTGATTAATTGTTCTCACTGTAGGAAATTTTCCCTTAGTTCCATCCATCTGTTACTTCATGTCCTGCCCTCAGGTGCTTTGGAGAATAGTCAACCCACTGTTCTTCATCACAGCCCCTCAAATACTGGAAGACTACTATCATGTCACCCCTGGTTCCTCTGTTTGTTAGGTTAGACCAGTGGTGGCGAACCTATGGCACAGGTGCCAGAAGCGGCACTCAGAGCCCTTTCTGTGGGCACCCGCGCCGTTGCCCCAGTCCTAGGCCTTCAGCTGGGTTTTATAAAACCTTTTCGCTTTAGGCCTCCGCCACCGTGTGCAAAAAAAAAAAAGGTTCAATCAATCAATTCCAACTTCTCGCAGGAAAAAAAAAAGATCTTGCAAAGTTGGAATTCATTGATTGAACTTTTTAGTCCCACCCAGTCTGCCGTTACCACCGCAGACATGCCCACCCAATTGGCCACACCCAGCCAATGAGCCACACCCACCCGGCACCCGACGATGCATAAGTGGGTTTTGGGTTGCAGTTTGGGCACTCAGTCTCTAAAAGGTTCGCCATCTCTGGGTTAGACATACCTAGTTCCCACAACATTCATGGTACAGTTTAGTTTCAAACCCATTATCATCTTTGTTCTATATCCTGAGACCTTTAATAATGCCTATCCCATTATTATCCCAATGTCCCAGGGACCTTCAACTCCACAGTCTTGTTCTGGACTTGTGCAGGCAAGGTTGGACAAAATGTTGACAGGGCTCCTATTTTACCTGCATAACTGTAATCATGTTCTAAAAAAAAGAAACTGTAATTTGTCACTCCTTGCTCAAGCTGCCATTCTTTCTTTACATGTGTTGATTTGTTATGGGGGTGAAGAGGTGTCTGCCACTAAAATTGAGACCTAAGATGATGTCTGTTTTGGACAAAATTCTACAAAACTTTAAACCTAAGACACCAATATCCCAGAATCCGTGGCCCAGCCAAGCTGTCTACCCTGTGATAAAAGATGAGTAACTATTACCCTCTACTGGATGAATCAAGAGTTTCAATTTATGTTGAATAGGTGAGAGCAAAAACAAAAACCACAAAAACAAACATTTATTTTTACACAATCCACGATTAGCAGAACCCAAGCTTATTTTTAAAGATTGTGTAGCCAGAATGTGACACAGTATTAGTTTTGTAAGCATGAAGGGCAAAGCAACAAAAAGTGTGGGTGCTAAACTGGTTCACAGTAACAAAACGGCATACAGGTAGTCCTCGATGTACGACCACAATTGAACCCAAAATTTATGTTGCTAATTGAGACATTTGTTAAGTGAGTTTTGCCCCATTTTATGACCTTTTTGCCACAGTTGTTAAGTGAATCATTGCAGTTGTTAAGTTAATAACCTGGTTATTAAATGAATGTGGCTTCCCCATTGACTTTGTTCATCAGAGGTCGCAAAAATTGATCATATAACCCTGGGACACCACAACCATCATAAATATGAACCAGTTGCCAAGCATCTGAATTTTGATTCATGGGGATGCTTCAACTGTTGTAAGTGTGAAAAATGATCATATGTCATTTTTTTTCAGTGCTATTGTAACTTTGAACGGTCACTAAACGAACTGTTGTAAGTCAAGGACTACCTGTACTTTAAACCCAAAGGTCATGCAACATTCTATTAAACTCCATTCCTCAGTCTTGGATATTCAGCAGTTGGGTAAAGACGCTCGAACAATGGATGATTTCATTAAGAAGAAATCTGCTGGTTTCATTTTTCATTCTTTAACAACAACAACAACAACAACAACAAAGGAATCTGGATTGAAGGGGGTGGAAAACTGGGCTTAAACTAACGAAATAAGTTTCCGTAATACATATACATTTCTTGACTCCTGGTAAGCACCGGGGCAAGTCTCCTGCAGTTTTCTTGGCCCCATTTTTCAGAAGTGGCTTGACATTGTTTGCTTCTTCTTAGGGCTGAGAAAAAGCGACCAGCCCTAAGACACCCAATTGACTTAATGCCCAAAACAAGATTAGAACTCAGGTTCACTGTTTCTAGTCCAGCACCTTCATCTGTACATCAAACTGGTTCTTGGTTTGAGGGAGAAGGACTGGCCCAAGCTCACTCAGGTGACTGGCTGCCTAAATCAGGACTAAAACTCACAGTTGCTTGGTTTTTAGCTTGGTGCCTTTAGCCACCACACAAATTGGCTTTTGTACTGAATGTACAGCTTTGCACTAGAAATAGTTATTTACTCCAAATGTAGGACAAGGGACACATGCCTTCTAGCTGCACCTATGAAAAGAAGCCAAGAGTTTTTTTGTACCTGCAAAACAGGAGACAGCCATAGGATGAAGCTGTTAAAAACACAAATCTGAAGCATATGCGAATTTTGAAGTGCAGTGTTACCATTCTATGCTGCACTAGTCAAATTTCACCTTGAGGACAATTATGGATACCCAGTTTGACAATCTGGCTTTACAGAATAACAGAGTTGGAAGCGACCTTGGAGGTCTTCTAGTCCAAACCCCCCCGATCAAGGAGGAAACCCTATATTATTTCAGACAAATGACTGTCCAGTCTCTTTTTAAGATCCTCCAGTGCTGTAGCATCTACAACTTCTGAAGGCAAGCCGTTCCACTGGTTTATTGTTCTCACCGTCAGGAAATTTCTTCTTAGTTCTAGGTTGCTTCTCTCCTTGATTAGTTCCATCCATTGCTTTTTGTCCTGCCTCTTGTG